CCCGGTGTGGGCAGTTTTACAGTTATTTGAGTCTCCATTCACTCTTCTCCATCCTTACCAGCAGTCTTGCAACTGCAGAAGTATTTTCTCTCCTCAATATGCCCATGCCCAGAGTCTCTTTCTGCTCTTTTCCCGGCCACTGCTGCTTGGAAGAGACAGCCTAGCAAACACTCTGATGCATAATTCTGCTGTAGAACAGGGGGTGTGGGGATGATGCCTGACATGCTCCCTTCCTCAGTGTAATCCCTGTGCTTCTGTGGTCACCTAGGCAGCTGTTGGTGAAAATGGTCTGGGGTGGCAGCGCAACCAACCCCAAGGAACTGTGTCCACATGGATCTTAGAAGAAACGCCCCCTTACTGTGTAACTTCAGTTAGGTAGCACGTCGGTACCTAGATCGTGTTATATCTCGTAACACCTCCTGACCATTGCTTTATCAAGCCTGTTGATGATTCATGTGTCCTTTTTAGTTGTCATTCAAACAAGGTTAATGCTTCTAGAAATCCTTGTCTGTTATTTGACAACCTATCATGGTCAATCAACTGAATCTTTTTTGACCAGTCCACCCCCACATATGCCATTATTTCTAACCTTAAAAGCCAGCTGGGCCTCCAGTAACTCTTCTCTCTCTTGCCTTCCCTTCCCCCCCCCTTTCCTGCCCCCACAGAAAGAATGCAAGCCGCGCTGTGATCAAGACCAGTTCCACTGTAAGAGTGGCCATTGCATCCCGCTACGGTGGCGGTGTGATGCTGATGCTGACTGCATGGATGGCAGTGATGAGGAGGACTGTGGCACCCGGGGTAACACACCTTTTCCCTTTAAAAAATGTGTTTGAAATTATTTCACTACATTCTAAAGAAGTGGGGAACAAGAGCAAGCAGAGAACAGCAAAGGGCATCAGAACACCTGCAGAAGCCAAATGAAAGGATCTTCTTTCATTCCATTGCCGGCATGCAAAAAGCAATTTGTAACCAGTCCCTGGCATCCAGATGCGGGGGAGGGGAGGGGAGGGAGCGTTTGTCTGCCAACAGATCCTGGCAAGCTTAGCCAATTGGGATGGCAACTCTGTTTGAAGCAAAGCTGGGCATTTTCTGATTTCCACCAAATATTCCAGAGTGGTGGTATTAATTCAGGGGCTTTGTAAGGACTTAAAAGGGTGGCCAGATTTACTGGTCTGGGACTCCTTTGAGTTCTAGACACACCAAAATGTGTCTTGAAAGGGTAGAGGGAGTGCAAACAGGAGTCAGCAGCCAGCTCTGCCTGTTCTCTCCTGGCCAGTCCCGGTCAGAGGACCGTGGCTGTGGAGCCCAGTGCCTGTATGATTTGAATGTCTCTACTATTCCTTATGGCTCTGATGCGGCTCTCTGTGTAGGTAGCCCCATCATCTCAGTCTTCAGGGAGGCTCTGTCACTGACACACTCTGGCTTGTTTTCTTTGCAGTGCGGACGTGTCCTCTGGATGAGTTCCAGTGTAATAACACCCTGTGCAAGCCGCTGGCCTGGAAGTGTGACGGTGAGGATGACTGTGGTGACAACTCAGATGAGAACCCCGAGGAATGCCGTGAGTATCCTTGTCGCCCCTTGACCTTGTCTCCTTGGACTCTCCCTCCGACTGACTCCCCCACCAGCCGACTGACTCCCCCACCTGCCGACTGGTGGAAGCGCGCAAAGGGGGACGGCACCTCTCCGGGTTGGCTTATCCAGTGGAGCCTCACCAACCTCTAGCAGAAGAGCTCCGTGTCCCCTTCCCTCGGCTCCTTGTCTCTGCCTTGGCTTTTCTTGGGGGCCCCAGGCATGCTCCTTCCAGGATTGGCTGGCATGAAGGAAGTCCAGAATGGAGTTCAAAGGCTGTTCAGGCACTCCTGCCTCACAGGGTTGTTGTTGTGATGATAATGTGGTGGTTGCGGAAGAATCTTGTCTCTGTCCTTCAGCTGCCGGGAAGAAAGATTTATTTGTACAGTGGTGCCCCGCTTATCGATTACCCCGCTCCATGACAAATGTGCTTAATGATTAGGTTTTTGCGATCGCTTTGTTTAGATAGCAAAAAACCTGCTTTACGATGATCGGTTCCCTGCTTCGGGAACCAATTTTTCGCTTTACAACGATCAAAACAGCTGATCGTTGAGTTTCCAAAATGGCTGCCCGCTGTGCAAAATGGCTCCCCGCTGTGTTAGGGACGGATTCTTCACTCTACAGGGAGCAGAAAATGGCTGTCCTATGAAGGATCTTCACTTTACAATGAGGTATTTTGCCCATTAGAACGCATTAACCGCATTAATGCATTCTAATGGGCTTTTTACTTTCTCTTGACAACAATTTCTCTCTACAGCAATTTCGCTGGAACGGATTAACGTCATCAAGCGAGGCACCACTGTAATTAGTATTATATAAATATAAAACACACCCATATATAAAAATGAATTTAATTGCTAGTTTAAATAAATCAATAGTTTGATTAAAAATTAGTAACTCCCTGTCCTATCATTCAAACCAACAATATGTTGCTTAAAGAAGCCCCCTCACTGACCAATATTAAGACTAGCCAAAACATTTTGGACTGTATTTCTTTTTCCAGTTGCTCACTGCTGAGCATTTAATTACAAAGTTTATAGAATTCATTATTCATGGGATCTGCTTATTTCAATATTTATGATGCCTAGAAGACTTTGTGGTCATGTTCTATACAAGCACTGTAGAGTTAGTTTTCAAATAGACAGTTCTGTGGATTGGAAGAAGCAAAGGGCAGCATCACAATGCACGCCAGTCACATGTGCATCGGATGGCAAAGGTTTACTTGGGTCGTGTGCCTAGGAAGGACCTTGGCTGGAAGTCAGTCCGTGTCAAAGGGAGGACAGTTCTGAACAGGCAAGGCCAAACCACACGGCGTGGTATCTGACTCAGTCAGGAGTGGCGTCATAGGTTAATCTGTCCACATTTCTTCATGATGTCTAAGAGCACAAGGAAAAAAAGTTTTCTGGGCATTAAGAAGACCAGCTGAAATCCAGGGCATTGAGGACTCTTCGTCCTGAATCTGAAGCTGGGACTCGGAAAGGGAAGGGTGTCAGGACCCGAGGCCTGCACTGCCAAGCGGCCTCCCTTGCATAGCAACGGCCACCGTGTGCCTTTCCTTGTTTGCCTGCCTCTTGTGCTCACTCTGGCCATTTGCCTCTCTTTGCCCCTGCAGTGAAGTTCAAGTGTCCCCCCAACCGACCATTCCGCTGCAAGAATAACCGTGTGTGCCTGTGGATAGGCCGCCAGTGTGACGGCATTGACAACTGTGGTGACGGCACGGATGAGCAATTCTGTGGTGAGTGCTCCCCCCCCTGCCCCGCTCACCATCTCTGCCTCCTGCTTTTCCTCCTGGAGATACACAGAATCATGGCAGGCTCCTCCCCCCAAATGACTTAGCTAGCCATGGGTTTTCAAGTCGTATTTTAGTTCCTCAGTCACTGAGGTCAGTAGTCCTAGCAGCTCCTTCATGGTAGTAGAAGCCGGTAGGCAAACAACAACCAAAGCATTGTTTTCCAGATTCTTCTGGTAGTCGAGGCACGTTTTTGGTGTGTGAATTCAAATGAGGAACATTCTGGTGTAGCTTTTTGTTTGTTTCCTTGTTTGTTTTGTTCTAATTATTTTGTTTTTTGTTTGTTTGCTTGTTAAAGTGCCATCCGTCCGTTGTGTTTCTTTCTGCCTGACCTGCAACACGCCTGGTCCCTGTGCGGGTCACGCTGTTCTGCAAGCTGCTTCCTCTGACGGAGAGGGAGAAATAAAGAGAAACAGGCAGAGAACCTTTGAATTCATGACATGCTCTCCCCGTTTATCCCTGTCCTCTCTGGCATCTTGCAGATTCACCAACCACCAGGCCCAGGAGCTGCAGCCATGAGAAAAATGAGTTTCTCTGCAAGAACGGGAAATGCATCAGCGCTGAACGCCGTTGTAACTTCTTTGATGACTGTGGAGATGGGTCTGATGAGGATAATTGCTTGAGGGGTGAGGCGATGAAAACCATGGAAGTCCTGACAAACATGGGATAATAGCAAAAGTTGGCATTGCGGGAGGGGGAGGGCAGGCTACAGATGTATGGTGATGGGGTGTGCTTCAAGCCATGCATGATACAGTATGTTGCTTGAGATGTCACTGATGTGCTCCAGCTGTTCACCTGTATCTCTCCGTGGCGCTGCCTGATACAGGATCTGTCCCTTCCCATTTTCTGCATACAGATCACAAAATGTATGGCTGCCACACCAATGTGACCATGTGTGGGGACGAAGCGAAATGCATGCAGACGGCCACATCTGTGTACTGCACCTGCCGCAGTGGTTTCCAGAAAGTGGAGGATAAGAATTCCTGCCAAGGTACTGGGCCAAGAAGTGGGTCCTGTGGACGCCTGTCATTAGCTAGAACATGATAGCAGAGTTATCTCAGCAACGTGTCATGAAGTTCACAAAGTAGCATATTGGATGGGAGGCAAAATCACTTTTTCCAGCATCTCCTAAACTGGCTTAAATGGGCACAAATATTTAACTAGTTTTGATTTGAACATATTTGGTTCCTTCAGCATTCCTCACAGGCTTGTGGAAGAGACCTCCAGAAATAACCCAAGGACCAGTTTGCTTACAGATCTAGCTTAGGCGGGAGCTGCTGTGTATTCATAGTAGCTTTATAATATAGGCCATGGAAGGAAACCTGTGGCCTGCGAGATGTTACTAAATCACCTTCATTCCTCATACTGGTAGAATTACAGTCCAGCAACATCTGGAGAGCTGTGGTTGCCCACTCTGGTACCAGATTCAAGGCTCTGGTGACTTGGATCTATAAGCATGGGACCCATGAAACTCAAAGAGACTATGGAGGGAAGGTTGGAGGGTGTCATGAGTGCAGCCGAAGATCCAGAACCTGAGGGCTTAACTATAGCTGAGGAGAATGCTGAACGATAAAAACACAAACAGCTGAATCGCCTCCAGATTCTCCTCCCCAGTAGATAGGCTGAGGGCCAGGCTGAGGGAAAGACTTATGACGAAAAGGTCAGAGGATCGCTTGAAGGCTGCCTGCAGAAACATCCGATCAACTAGCCCTGAGTTCTGACAGGATGTAAAGGCTTCCAGCAGTTCAAGGACTGTTTTACTATATAAACAGCTCTCAGATGGCTGAAAGTCCGTGGAAGCAACAAGTCAAACCTCTGGCTTGCATCCACACTCCTGACAACCTTGAACTTTGTTCTCTGGACCCTTGGCTTTGGCCTCTGACCCTGGACTATGTTGTGTGTTTTGGCTTTGGACTCTGACCCTGGACTATGTTGTTTGAGTTGGCTTCGGTATTTGCATATTGGCTCTGCATTCTCTGAATTTCTGACATAGGACTGGCTTATCAGACTCTGCTGTTGTAACCCCTGGGAAAGTGACAGAGGGGCTACCGTGTGGTCACTCCCCTTGGATGATAAAAGCTCTTTTCAAATCCCATTTGGTTTCTAAATTAGTGGGCTGTGCTGTTCCCTTTTATTCAGAACTATTTTTCCGTTCATTGATACCGCCACATTGTACGTACTGTGTGTCAACAAAAATTGAATATGAGCAGGTTTCATATTCTTTCTTTTTTAAAAGTTCTATTGAAATGTGGAAAAATAACAACCACATCAAAACTTTTTTTCCAATATAGGATTTTATTTTACAACAGGTAAGAAATGCAGTATTCATTCCAGATCAACTTTACTGTAGAGCACTGTTTTAAATGTTGTGATCACGTACAGTGACATATGTGTCAGGTTCTCATTATTCCACAGTACTTTCCCCCCAAATACAGTGGTGCCTCGCTTAACGAGCGCACCGTAGAACGATGAATCCGCATAGCGAGGAGGTTTCAGCGATCGCAAATGCAATCGCATACCGATGGCCCCTATGGCCAAAAATCGCTTTGCGATGATCGGTAAGCGTTTCGCTTACCGATCTTCGCAAAGCTCTGCCGTGGATCAGCTGTTTGGTGGCTCCAAAATGGCCACCGGAAGCCCCGAAATGGCCGCGCGCAGCGTTTTCGCACCCTCCCCTCGCTTACCGAGGGCGTGAAAATGGCTGCTGGCTATGGTGAGTTTTGGAGCCTATTGGAATGCATTAAACTAAGTTTAATGCGTTCCAGTGGCTTTCCCCGTTCCGTACAGCGATGTTTTCACATAGCGAGGGTTAATCCAGAACGGATTAACCTCGCTATGCGAGGCACCACTGTAGCTTAACATGGTCTCAGTTCCAAAAACTATGCAACCAAATCAGGCTTCAACTAGCTTTTTCTATGCATCTCATTTAGAGTTATGTTATTCAAGTTTTAAATACTTAGGAATATGGGTAACAAAAAATCTTAATCAATTAATCTACAGAAATTATAAAAATCTATTTAAATTTGCAAAAGAAAAAATGACAAAATGGGTCAATTTGAACTTATCAATGCTGGGGAGAATTGCTCTGATTAAATCTGATATATTACCAAAATTTCAATTTCTATTCCAAAATATCCCATTACAGCCAGATACAAAAAAAGTAAAACTATGGCAAGGAAAGCTAGAAAATTTTATTGCAGGAAAGGGAAAGAAGATAAGATTTATAAATAGCGTCAAATATAGACAGGGTCAAAAGGGGGGATTAGGAATACCACAGCTCCTAAAATACTATGAAGCTTTGCAAATAAACCAAATTATTAAATTTATACAAATTGACGAGACTTGTAAAAATTCAGACTGGGTTAAAATGGAAAGTGAAATGAAAATGGACATAGTAAACAAGTATATTTATACTACAAAAACAATTGGAAAAGGAGAACAAATACAGAACCCATTCATTTCTGAAACATTAAGGATATGGAGAAAACATAGTAAAACATTGGCCCCCCCAGTATCCCCTTTATGTCCCCTCATGGATCACCCAGATTTTAAGTCTAAAGAAAAATATGCACAATTTAAGGAATGGAAGCAAATTGGAATATATAGAATTAATGACTTATTCGAGTCAGGGGAACCACTCACTATCAGACAAATAGAGGAGAAAACAAAGCAAATAAAAAGCAATTGGCTACAAATAAAACAAATAAGAAGTTTCGCTACTCACTTACAACAAAAAACTGGCCTTCTAAGAACATTAACCGAATTCGAACAATATTGTATACAAAAAGATAAAAATAAAAAGAAAGGATTAACCTCACTAATATATAAAAGTATTATTGAAAAAGAATATGGAAAAGGTGGAGGATCTAAAACAGTGTGGGAAACAAATTTAAATATTAATATACCTGAAGAAACTTGGACAGGAATCTGGAAAAAATATCCATATAAATCTATTTCAGCAAGTGCAAAAGAAACGGTTCTAAAGGTAGTGCACCGATGGCATCTATGCCCTACAAAACTACACAGAATTAATAAAGATATATCTGATAAATGTTGGAGGAACTGCGGACAAAAGGGAACTCTGGAACATATGTGGATCTCTTGCCCCAAAATAGAAACTTTTTGGCTGGAGGTAATTAAATGGATAGAAACACTGACTAATCAAAATAATTAAATGCATAGAAACACTGACTAATCAAAAAACAGAGATTAATGAAACATTATTGTTATTTTCATTATTCACGGGGGGAAATGAGAAACTACAATATAAAGAATTAATTGCAAATCTCATAGGCACCGCAAGATCTGAAATAGCTAAAAATTGGAAAAAAGCCCAAGATCTCTCACTGCAAGCATTCACAAGTAAAATATGGCATACATTGTTGATAGAAAAAATGACGAATAAAGTTAGAGTACATAGAGGCGAAATAAGCCATAGTAAATTCACGGAAAACTGGAAGCCATTATTAAAATATGCCGATAAAATGGAGACATGTGGTTTGAAAAGAGACTTAGATTGTTGGTCAATTTTTTAAAAAAAGGTGATGGGGAAAGGTATATATATGTGATTTGGAGAAAAGTGGGGAATAGTTTTGTATTTAATATTTGTAAAATGTTCGATTGTCTTTTCATTCTTTAGAAATAAAAAATAATATTTAAAAAAAAGAAAAGAAAAGAATTAAAAATGTTCAGCAAAAAAAAACAACTAGCTTCTTCTATGTTCTCTTTTTAAGTTATAGGATCTTGACTTTCTATGATTCCCCAGACCCACCAGTATGTCAATAAGCCTAGCTAGGTCAATAGCATCTCTCTCTCTCTCTCTCTCTCTCTCTCTCTCTCTCTCTCTTTTGTAAAAGATGGAGCTTCTGCCACTCATAATGTGAATATAGCCATGGTATCCCTCCCAAGTTGCTTTTTTATGTATCATGTATATGAGCTGCTTTGCTGCTTGTTTTAGGAGATTTATTTATACTTTTCCTCGTTGCTGGTCTTTATGGCCGCTTTATTCATGGAGGCTGCTGAGAACAGGACCCGTGTAGCAGATGTTCCAGCAGTGGGCACAGTGGGCAAAATGGCTCCTTGGCCATTATTGCTGGCAACAGGCTGGAAACTCTCCCCATGCAAGTGCTCAGTGCATCCTCTAAGCTGCTGTTGTAGAACTTCATGGCTGCCATGTGGAACAAACTGGCAGATGGAGTCATTTCTAGTGGCCTTCAGAAGGCAGGTGACAGTCTGGCATTCCCTCCTGTGAACTTCACAGCCACTGAATAATCAAAAGATGCACCGTGCTTCGACTGTAATTCTCATGCAAGGTGAAAACCTGTTTATGTGCCTGGACTGTGTAGACATTTTTAGGAGGTGCAGGGTCAGTGTCAGTGGTGAGTATTTTTAGGAACCTGCCAAAACCCACCCCTCAGCAGACAGGCCACTGCTCATAACTGGAGCCTCCTGATCTATCCCGCTACTCTTTCTCCCAGCATCCTCCATGTCCTGCAGATCAGTCACCTGACAGCAGGGCCAATTGCCAACAGGCATGGGCAGGCCCTCCTGGATGTGGAGGATGCTGGGAGTTGTAGTTTCCCTGCCCCGTTATGGCACTTCCCAAAGAACTACAACTCCCAAGAAGATCTTTAGCTGCCAGATAGAATCGCAGCAGCTTCCTTGTTTTTGAAAATAGAAACAGGTCAGAGAAAACAGTGATGAAAGTAAGAAGAGCTGCTCTGCAGACTTATATTTCTGGGCTGCACCTCCCAGAGCTTTCTCTGAGGAATTCCTGGAGAATTCTGGGGGTTGCAGTTGAAAAATATGAAAGAATACCTTCCACCGAGTGATCTTTTTGCCTAAGAGCCCCCTGAAATAATCTCTTTCGGTTTTATGGAATTTGAACATCATATTCTAGCTGTCAATGTCCTGCCATTTGTAGTTACTGGCGATTTTAATTTGTCTCTTTTCATTGTTATTGGCCCTGGCAGCACATCTAGAAAGGAAAGTAGGATCTGCATGTATGTTAAATAAATAAAGTAAGGGCAAGCAGCTCCCTCTGCATTAAACAGTTGCTGAGGAGGGACCTGCTTGGGGCTGATGGAAGGCAGGAAGCCTGCCAGCCAGGCAGAAGAATGATACTGATGGGTATCATCAAGCAAGCTGAATGACCCTGGCACTCTGCCCAGGCAGGGCGCAGGAGTGGTAATTGAAGCCTCTCTTTAAATTTCACATTATTGTCCCAGCTCCCTGGCTAATGCTAGTGATTGCAGACAAGTCCATTTTTGTAATCCACTCTAAAGTGCTAAATTAACACCTGATTGGCAGGGAGATGAGGGATAAGGGAGAGGAATGTTTTCGGGTATAGCATGCATTTCAGGCTTCCTGCTGATGCTTCATGGAGATAAATAATCAGATATTTGTTTCTGTAGGACAGCTTGAAAATATTTTGACAAATAAGATAATGGAGGAGAAAGTAAGTGGAAGGGCACATTCAACAACAATGCCTTCTTGCAGCATCTGCACAGAAATAATTTTTGAAAAGCAGGTCCTGCTTCCAGACTCACAGAAATAAGAGGATGGGAGAATTGGAGCAGGCCTGTTTTGTCTCCAACTCAGCTCTGTTCAACATAGCGAATGCATAGATGTATGGTAGTTGCGATCTAAAAGTATCTGGAGGCCCCACCATTGCCCACTCCTGCCCTACATGGATTCACTGTATAAGCACCCATTCAGTACTATTCTCCCCCCCCCCCGGAAGACTGAGACAAGACAGAAGAAGAGAGCGGTGTATTGGTGTCCACTAGTGTTGTCACAGACATTATCTAATAGGTGACTGTCATAGTCATAGATATTTCTCTTATAAAAGTGATCTGGGGAATGATAAGACTGAGTTTTGATTTCCCTGTACAGTATATTACTTGCATTGCTGTAGGAAATCTGACCAAAATCAGCAGCAAGCTAGAAAAAGTGTTAGTAAATATCATGAGGAAGCATCTTTGTACATAACATCACCAGATCACTGAAAGAAAAGTTACAGTCTGTGGTACACCTTCTGGCACAAGGATCTGGTAACATTGTTTCTGTGTCTCCCTTGCTTTGTACAGATATCAACGAATGCCTGACGTTTGGAACTTGCAGTCAGCTTTGCAACAACACAAAAGGCTCGTTCATGTGCACTTGTGCCAAGAACTTCATGAAGACCCATCAGATGTGCAAGGCAGAAGGTACCTGCCATTTATGAAGGGAAAACATTATTGACGAGGCAGTGTAACATTGTGTATGTGCATGTATGTGCCCATAACATGCATGCACCCATCATTTATAACAGATTACAAGGCATTATTTCCAGCGTTTCTTCTACACGAAGAGGGCCCTCTGGCCATTGCTACCATCCCTGTTTCCACTTGCCTTGGTGGGTGGGGTGGGGGGAAGAAATCACGGTCCATCTTAGATCTGATCATGGTGCTGAAACATGGATAAAAGTGAGGGAAGTTTTGTGATGGCTAAAGTCCTTGGCGGGACTGGTGGCGCTGCGGGCTAAACCGCAGAAGCCTGTGCTGCAGGGTCAGAAAACCAAGCAGTCGTAAGATCGAATCCACGCGACGGAGTGGGCGCCCGTCGCTTGTCCCAGCTCCCGCCAACCTAGCGGTTCGAAAGCATGCAAATGCAAGTAGATAAATAGGGACCACTTTGGTGGGAAGGTAACAGCGTTCCATGTCTAAGTCGCACTGGCCATGTGACCACGGAAGATTGTCTTCGGACAAAACGCTGGCTCTGTGGCTTGGAAACGGGGATGAGCACCACCCCCTAGAGTCGAACACGACTGGACAAAAATTGTCAAGGGGCACCTTTACCTTTACCTTTACCTTTAAAGTCCTTGGCTGGTTACGGAAATCTACCTACTCTTCGTGTGACTCAAAAAATCCCAGCCACTTGACCCCCACTAAAAAAAATCTGTTGATTGAATTCCATGGGAGGGAGCAATGGACATGCTGAAGTCCAGCACTGAAAGCACTAGGACTCTGTAGGATTTGATTTTGTCTGGCTCATAACCAGTGGGTTCCCTTAGCTGATCTGTTTAAGGAAGGGTTATGATTTTCTTTTTTAATGCAAGCCGTTTCTGAGTGTTTAGGATTGTTTTGCCCGCCCATCTTTCTCTATCGCTGCCACCATCTCTGGTGGTTAGATGCTCAGTTTGACCCGTCCTATATTCCTTGTGTTGATGGATGAAGGGGTGCACCAACTGCCTAAAACAGACCTCTTCGTCCACACTTTCAGGTCCTTCTGGTGCTGGTTCAGGGGATATTGAATCTTCTGATTGTCAAAGAGATGATAGAGTATGCCATGTCTTCTCAAAAGTAAATACACATAAACATTTGTTTCTACAAAAAACATTAAGTGCTAGTGACGGAAACCCCCTACTTGCACAGACTCCAGATTGCAGACTTGGCAAGTGCCGGTCTGTTTAAATGCACTCCTTGTAAAAACTCTCCAAAAAGTTGGAAAGCAGTCTTCTCCATTCTTTATTTCTCATTTCACTCTTTTTGCCAGACAACCGTGTACCCATCTTCTCCTGTTTGTTCACTTCATGGTAGGGAAAACAAATGTAATTTGGATGTTGGGCTGTATAATTTATTCCCCACCCCCCTCGTCTCTTTCTGTCCAGGTTCAGAATACCAGATACTTTACATTGCCGATGACAACAAAATCCGCAGCATGTACCCTTTCAACCCCAACTCGGCCTATGAACCCGCCTTCCAAGGAGACGACAGCGTCCGCATTGCTGCAATGGATATCTATGTCAAGGGCAACAAGATCTACTGGACCAACTGGCACACCGGGCGCATCTCTTATCGTGAACTGCCATCGTCGGCAGGCTCTAGCCCCTCTAATCGCAACCGGCGGCAGATTGATGGTGGAGTAACCCACCTTAATGTAAGGAGCAGAAGGGGTTTGTGAGAATACATGGAATGAAGTCCTGGGACCCAGCAGGGAGGATTAGAAAGAAACCCCGGCTGATCTTGGTGTGTTCATCTCTTTCCCTCTCCTTCTCCCAGATTTCAGGGCTGAAGATGCCACGGGGCATTGCCGTAGACTGGGTGGCTGGAAACATTTACTGGACAGACTCAGGGCGCGACGTCATTGAAGTGGCCCAAATGAAGGGTGAGAACCGCAAGACACTGATTTCAGGAATGATTGATGAACCTCACGCTATCGTAGTGGATCCACTTCGAGGGTGAGTCAGGCCCCACTGCCATTTATTCAACACCTCTTCCAGTTTACTGTGCACTCTTTGCGTGTCACAGGAGATGTCACAGAACATACTTCTCTTTACAGCACCATGTACTGGTCAGACTGGGGGAACCACCCTAAGATTGAGACAGCTGCAATGGATGGGACCCTGCGGGAGACTCTGGTGCAGGACAATATCCAGTGGCCCACAGGTGAGTTGGGTAGTGTGGTGATGTCACTTCCTATAGGCTGAGCTGCCACCTACAGGGCTACATCCAGCTCTACAGATTCTTTATGCACGAGAAAAATGCCTTCTACTGAACATGGCCATTAGCTTATCTGTTATGGGCTGTGGCAGTTTTCCCCCACCTAGAACCCTTCAGGTATTTGGGGCTCCAGCTCCCATCAGTCTAAGCCAACGTGGCATTTTATGTATATTTTAATTGTATTTTAATTGTTCTAAATTTTATTGTATTTTAAATGTTGTAAACCGCCCAGAGACCTTTGGGTAGTGTGAGCCATAGATAGATAGATAGATAGATAGATAGATAGATAGATAGATAGATAGATAGATAGATAGATAGATAGATAGATAGATAGCTAGCTAGCTAGCTAGCTAGCTAGCAAGCAAGCAAGCAAGCAAGCAAGCACTGGAATTGAAGACCACAGGATCTGGAGGGCACTTTATAGAGGAAAGCTATTCCCAGGTATGGAGAGGCTTTTTCCAACTACTCTAAATCCTCACCTTTGGATTGTACCAAGGATCTCATGGTGAACTCTGCCACTGAGTGATGATCCTGCTTACTCCAGATGCACATTTATTTGTTTGTTTGTTTGTTTGTTTGTTTGTTTGTTTATTTAGCAGATATAAACAATCTTTTTGCACAGGTGGGTGGATTAGGGAAGGAGAATAATTTGAAAGATTAGGATTGGGTTAAAAAGGGCTTTGCAGGATTCTCAAGTCTCACTCTTGACCTGTGGAAGTAAAGTAGTGGAGAGGGGTTGTGCAGCCTTTGGCAAACTCATTTCCACAGAGATGAGGGCTGAAAGGGGCCCTGGTCATGACCCTCGTGTGAAAGACTGTCCTTTGCGGCCAGAGGTGATGATGTGGGAGACTTTAGGTTTTGGAGCTTTGTACAGCAAATTGTTGAAACCTAAACATGTTGTTTACCTCCAGGTTTAGCGGTCGATTATCATAATGAGCGCCTGTACTGGGCCGACGCCAAACTCTCTGTGATTGGCAGCATCATGCTCAATGGTACTGATCCTGTGGTGGCCATTGATAGCAAGAAAGGTAAAGCAACAACAAGAAGAACATGGTGGTTCATATGTCTCCCCTCGGGCTTAATCAGTAAAGCCTTTTAGTTGAAACATACTTTGGTATTTGGTCCCACCCTTTGGTCTTTGCTCCCAGCTGCCACTGGAGCTCAGCCTACCAACTTGAATGAAATTAAATCCAGTAGGGCTGAAAGAGGCTCCCTCCCCATCTCTACCTCTACTCCATTGTTCTCAATGCCCTTTTGCTGTTGGCAAAGGAGACAGCATGGTGATCCAGACAAGCAAGCGGAGCTATCTGCATTGGCCCAGATGAGCCACAGCCGTGCAGCATCTATTTGCTGATTGTCTCTTCTTCCTCAGGAGATGCCTTTGTCTCACTTCCATAGTAGTGCTCCAGATGGGTTGTGGGGAGAACGCTGCTGTCTGGATGCAATATACATCTTCATCCCCTAAATGGGCTCTTGTATCAGGGTACATGGAATGTTTTGCCATTCCTACAAGATTGCAGATTTTGTATCTCTTACACAGTGCCAATACTGTTGCTCTTTTCACCACCTTCAAGGGGTAGATATATCTAAATACTAGCTAAACACAAGTTCTTTGCAGGATCCCGAACAATGTGGCCATTAGCAGACCTGCCTAACTTCTGACACTTCTTTTGTCTATTCCTACCCCAGGGTTCAGCCATCCTTTCAGCATTGACATTTTTGAGGACTACATTTATGGCGTCACATACATCAACAACCGCATTTTCAAGATTCACAAGTTTGGCCATGGTACCGTCACCAACCTTACAGCAGGGCTGAATCATGCCACTGATGTGGTACTCTATCACCAGTACAAACAGCCAGACGGTTAGTACTGCCTCTTGAAATACCAGATCTCAATGAGCAAAAGAGAACAAGCAGTCATAATGATCTCAAGCTACGGTGTGGGAGACAGGTAGTAGATCTGGGGTAGAAAAGTTTTATGGAGGCAAGAGAGAGAAAGAAGATAAAGATCAGACTAGCTCCAATAAAGGAAATGTACAGTCATGGTCAAAAATATTGGCACTCTTGCAATTCTGTCAGAGAGTGCAACCCTTCTCTCAGAAAATTATTGCAATTGCAAATGTTTTGGTACTCATGTGTTTTCCTTGATTTCCATTGGAACAACTAAAAAAAAATAAAGAGAGAGGAAAAGTCAAATCTGATACAATCTCACAGAGAAACCCAAAATTGCACTGGCCAAAATTATTGGCACCCTGTCTAAATTGTATGAAATAATTGCTTTTCAAGCATGTGATGCTCCTTTAATTTGTATTTAGACACACCTGTTGCAAGTAAGAGGTGTGGACAATACAGTGATCACACTTGCAACCAGTTAAGATGGAGAAAAGTTGACTCAACCTTCGTGTTGTGTGTAACACTGAGCTTGGAGAAAAGAATGAAGTTTAAAGAGTTTTCTGTGGATTTGAGAGAAAAAAATTATGGAAAAACTTTGACAATTTCAAGGCTACAAGTCCTTCTCCAGAGATCTTAATGTTTCTGTGTCCACCGTGCACAGTATCATCAAGAGGTTTACAGCTCATGGCACTGTAGCTAACCTCTCTTGACATGGACGGAAGAGCAAAATTCCTGAAAAATTTCAACAAAGGGTTATTCGAATGCTGAATACAGAACCTGGATTAACTTCTATACAAATCCAAGCTGATCTGCAGACACAAGGTACAACAGTGGTAGCTTGTACTACCCGTCGCCATCTGAATGAAAAGGGACACTCTGGTAGGAGACCCAGGAGGACACCACTGCTGACACAAAGGCATAAAAAAGCAAGACTGGAGTATGCAAAAACTTATGTGACAAAACCACAATCCTTCTGGGAGAACATATTGTGGGCAGATGAGACAAAAGTAGAGCTTTTTGGTATCATGTCACTGTTGACAGAAAAAGAAACGAGGTATTCCAAGAAAAAAACACAGTCCCTACAGTCAAACATAGCAGACGTTCACAGATGTTTTGATGTTGCTTTGCTGCTTCTGGCACTGGATGTCTTGACTGTGTGAATGGTATCATGAAATCTGATGATTACCAAAGAATTTTGGGGTGCAACGTAGTGGCCGGTGTCAGAAAGCTGCATCTCCCCCAGGGATCATGGGCCTGCCAGCAAGACAGTGACCTGAAACACACTTCAAAAAGCGCTCAGAAGTGGTTACAAACAAAATGCTGGAGAGTTCTGAAATGGCCAGCAGTGAGTCCAGATCTGAATCCCACAGAACAAACAGAAGTTGGGAAAAGGCATCCTTTAGATCTGAATGCCCTGGAGCAGTTTCCAAAAAAAGAGTGGTCCAAAATTCCAGTAGAGAGGTATAAGAAACTCATTCATGGTTACAGGAAGCAACTGATTTCAGTTATTTTTTTTGCAAAGGGGGTGGTACCAAATATTAAGTTAAGGGTGCCAATAATTTTGGCCAGTGCATTTTTGGGTTTCTATGTGAGATTGTATCAGATTTGACTTTTCTTCTCTGTTTTCGTGTTGTTCCAATGCAAACCAAAGAAATGCACATGTAGGTACCAAAACATTTGCAACTGCAACAATTTTCTGAGAGAAGGGTTGCTTTTTCTGACAGAATTGCAAGGGTGCCAATATTTTTGGCCATGACTGTATATAGTGTTTGGCATAATATTTAAATGGACAAACCATGATTTTTAATTGGCTGGCAAATCAGAATCATATTTCAAGCAGGTCCACAAGCCATCATTTGTGCCACCCATGTTTTGGTGCAATGTTCATATTCTACAAGTCATAACTCTGCTTCAAGAGGCAGCTATATCACAAAAAGAAAAAAGATTGGAAACAAACTGTTACACAGTTCTAAACTTTGGCCTGCCTCTACTTTCTTTGATTCAAACAATGGTTTGGATTCTAAACTGCGTGCCAAGATTTGGTATGATATCTGAGTTGTAGACCCTTTTCAGACATTTACGAAGCAAGTTCAGCATATTAGCTGAAAGGATAGGGCAAGGAAGTAATGATGGAATGAGATTCAGGAAAAAGAATTAGGTATGCGTGGTTCTAATGTTAAAACCAGATTATAATGCACTAGAATAAGCTTCCTAGATAGGTAACAGAATTTCCACTCTTGAAGGCTTTTGAGCGACAGTTAACGATGCAGCTCTCATGTATGTTTCTAAATGTATGACACAGATTTGGGCTTAGATAAGCCTGTGTTTCTGTGATCTGCATTAATGTCTAGTTACAGTTGTGTGCTTTGTAACTTGATTTTGCCTGACTGGAATCTCCTCAGTCTTCTAAAGTGGTATATTAGTTCAGGAAGCAACATGAGTTAGGCTGAGGATTGCAGCCTGTTGCAGATCAGTTACAAGGGACCTGCTGGCTAGCAAATGAAAAACAATATGGTTGGACTAGAGACTGAAGTAGGCAGTGGAGAGGGCACTAGGTGAGAAGGGAGCAATCCAGAAGGGTAAGAAGGGAAGCCTTGACTCTCTAGGTTTCCCCTGCGGACTGCCCTTGGGACCTAGAGGAGAAAGAAAGATGGAGAGGGTGTGTGTGTGAGAGAGAGAGAGACACACACACATGTTGAGCTCTTCATTCTTGACGTGTTTCCTCCTCAGTGACCAATCCCTGCGACAGGAAGAAGTGTGAATGGCTTTGCCTCCTGAGCCCCAGCGGCCCCGTGTGCACTTGTCCCAATGGCAGAAGGCTGGACAACGGCACCTGCGTCCTCACCCCCTCACCCTCGGTTCCACCTGTGGGTACGTGGGCATCTCTTCCCTCCTCCCTCAACTGCTGCCCCCCACCCCCACAGAGAGACTGAAGCCCTTCCTACTGTCCTCACCAAGGATATTTTGCTAGAGCTTGCATATTTTCTATTTTTGGACTCTAGTTCCTAAAATCCCCAAGCCAGTAGGGAGCTGTAAACCAAATGTGGTAAAATTTCCAGGAGCTAGTGTGGTGCCCTCCCTTGGGGGCGCAGCTCCTACTTTTAAACCCTGAGACAGAAAGTAACCTTCTTCAAGTTGACTGCCCCCCCATCTTCTTTGGCTGCCAGCTTACTGAACCTCTGGGCCACCATGGAGGGGCCCCCAGATTTGACCTGACTGTGTTGTGATTTACTGCCCCCAGAGGCTGTTGCTGCAGGAGAGCTGGAGGTCTCGGGTTCAGTCCCTCTGCACAAGCTGGAGGAGCAACACTGTGTTCCTTCCCTCTTTCCCGTTTCCTGCTGAGTTGATGTTTTGGTGGCAGGCTCCTCAGGAACGCTTGCATGCTTGCACTTTTTGAACCGCTACTCACATTCTTCTCAGCAGTTTCAAGAAGAGGAGGAATCTCACTTTCTTGTGTCTATGTGTGCTCTAGTTCCACCCACCGACACCTGCGATCTGGTTTGCCTCAATGGCGGCAGCTGCTTCTTGAATCCCCTCAAGCAACCCAAATGCCGATGCCAGCCACGCTACAGTGGGGACAAGTGCCAGAACGACCAGTGCTCTGACTACTGCCAGAATGGGGGCACCTGCACTGCTTCCCTGTCCGGTGAGTGGGGCAAGAGTTGGATTTTTTTGTGGGGGGGGGAGGGGGGCAAATATTTGCCTGCCAAAAATAAGGTTAGCATTTCTGACATTCATATCCAATCCATTGACAGTGAAAGATGGATCCCAGGTCCAGAATCCAAATAATTATTGATGGGGAGTGCTTGAGGTGCTTTGATGATGTCTACCATGTAGCACTCACAATCTGATTACAATTTTTTCTTTAAAAATGCCTGGCATCTTTAGCGAAGAAATCACTGCAGCACTGACAGGAGGGCATCATGCAGAGTCCTTGTGCCTTTTGCCTAATACAAGGTTTCCTCCACAATCCCGTTCTCTGGTGCTGCAGCATCTTTGGTTTGGCCATGGAGCTCTGTAGAAAACGAAGCCGCTCGTGCTGGCTGGTGAATGACCTCTGCTCTCTCCTTTCTGCCCCAGGGGTGCCAACGTGTCGCTGCCCCAATGGCTTCACCGGCTCCCAGTGTAACAAGCAGTTGTGCGCTGACTACTGCCTCAACAATGGGAGCTGCACCGTCAACCATGGAAACCAACCCAACTGCCGCTGCCCCCCTGAATTTGATGGCGACAAGTGCCAGTTCCGTGAGTGTCTCCTGGCGACTTCTAACCCCCAGCAAATCCACAGCAGGGCGCTTTGCCTATCCTGTCCTGGAGGGCAGTCCCCAGAATCCACTAGCCAGCATGATTCTGGGGTCGGGAGGTTTGGGGAGGGGTTGTCGAGAAAAAGGAAATCTCCCCTTCTCTCAGGGAAATCAGCCAGTCTATTAAGGATGCCCCTTTACAGCATCAAAAACTAGAAGATAGGACATTTATTCTTGAATGAATTTGATGGGGTGGGGGGAAGGGGCAGAAGGATTATTTATTCATTGTTTTACTTTAGTATATGGCACCCATTAGTGTCGCAGCACTAATCTGCTGGCTTGGGAAAACTACCCCCAAATCGAGCCTTTACTGAAATGAGCTTCTGGAGGTGTTACATTGTCACATAGCGTTGACCCAGAGTTAGTCAGAACAAAACAATAGCTGTTTAGATAGCAGGGAACTATTGGATCCAGTGGTAAGTTTATCACCTGCTGCTGAAAATCTTAGCCAGTCTGATCCACTCAACTTCAGTGAGTCCTAGGGCTAGGCCTCTGGCTGCAGAACCAGACGTTGGGAGTTCCAATTCCCCACTTGTGCTTCCTTGAGAGGGGCTGGACTCAATTATCCATAAGGCCCCTTCCAGCTCTCCAATTCTAAGATCATTGTATTATATGATTATAATACACTTCTTGCACCGTCCAAGCTCAGCAAAGTTGCCCTTGCCCTTGTTTCCTTTCATTGTCAGCGGGCTAGGTTATGCCACTATATGTAGCCCTGGCCCAAAAACTGCATTGAGTCAATGCATCTCAATTTCCATCCTGCTTGGTTGGGGTGGGTGGGAGAACATTTCATGTCATCACTAGGATAACTGGCATGTGACCGGCTGCATAGTACTCTTCCCCAATAAGGAAATAAAACATCTGTTATAAATAACTAAAAGACATACCAGCTGTGGCATGTGTATGAACAAACAAATAATGTGGAGCTTGTAGGCTGCATAGTACTCTTCCCCAATAAGGAATAAAACATCTCCTGTTATAAATAACTAAAAGGCATACCAGCTGTGGCATGTGTATGAACAGAGAAATAATGTGGAGCTTGTGGTTCAAGACCTGCAATGTGAATGCCTCCTTCACCCCATGCTGTAATCTTCCCTGTCCCCTTCAGGCTTGTGCCCCGGCTACTGTGAGAATGGCGGCGTGTGCCATTTGACAGCCTCTGGCACGCGCCAGTGTGGCTGCCCGCCCAATTACTATGGGGACCGCTGCCAGCATAACAAGTGTGACCGCTGCCTCAAAGGCAATTGCTCCATCGACAAACAGACTGGCAATGTCACCTGCAGGTAGGTCCTCAGAGTGAGCGGTGTGGGAGAAGTGGGCAATGTGAGTGTTGAGTGAAAATGATCCAGGATGCTTGGGGTCTCCTGCACACAATGGCCTTGGAGAGGGAGAGTGCAGCGTGATTCGTAAAGGGAATTGGACAGCCACTAGGCAAGAAGAAGGAATGGAAGCCAAGTGTCTCCTCAGGGGGAGCCGGAGCAGGTTGTTCAGAGGAACTGGTGGGCGGAGCCTCGCGGTGCAGTAGTGTAACTATACTGCAGCCAGAACTCTGCTCACCAGGTTCAATCCCAGGTAGCTGGCTCAAGGTTCACTCAGCCTTCCTTATAAGCGGCCCACAAAGTGTTTGAGGTGCTATGGGGTGTTCTATAAGCAGCACGCTTGGCTTGTTGTGCTTTCTTGACATATACGTTGCTTCTGTAGACACAAAGCTAGGAAGTTACACATAGACAACTAACATTGTGAATTGCTTTTATGCAACAAGAGCATAATGTTATTTGTATGAAATAATTTCTCAACTGGTAACATCATTGTTGTCCTTTTTGTGTGTGTAATAAGTAATGTTTCTTTGCTGCTCCTAATTGTTGTTGTTAGGAATTGGGAGGTATGTCATTTGTTGAGCACTGGAACCATGTTTCCATTTTTTAAAAAAAATTCTTTAAGAATGAAAAACAATTAAAAACTCATAACGTAATAAGGAATGATTTTAATAAAGCAGTGCTAAGGCTTTATTGAAGTCATACTCCCTGTGTACACTCACTCCCTTCTGGGAACTTTCAAGCAGACCAGAAGGCTGACCTTGCAGCTCTACAATATATTTTACCAGTTCTTCAAGACCAAGTGTGTTTCCCTAGGAAAAAGGGGTGTGGGGGCCATACAGCCAGTTGAGAAAGAATCCCGATGGGAGGGGAGAGGACAGAGAGTCCTGAGAATCTGAAACCAGGAATCCTGGCTGGGGAAGCTCATAAGCCGAAGGAAGGTTGTGCCTTTGTCTCTTCAGTCTGTGTGGCTTACTTTGAGCCAGACTTTATCCATTACAGTGATACTCAAGCTGTCCTCCAGGAGATCGCAGTGGGACCCCAGTGCTTTGCTTCCGTATCAGCAGGAAGGAGGTAGAAAAGAGTCTGAGTGCCACTGACTGTTCTTCTGTTTTGCCCTTGCAGCTGCTCTGATGGTAGGATAGCCCCCAGCTGCTTGACTTGTGATGACTACTGCTTGAATGGGGGCACATGTACAATGAATGCCGATACCTCGATGCCCCAGTGCCAGTAAGTTGGGAGAAAACCCAAAGGGACCAATGGGGCATTCATGCCTGTTTGCTAGGAACTGAGTAGAGAAAAAGCATGCCCTGCGTCCTGTGGTGATGGGGACTCTACTCCCATTACACCTGCCGGCATTTTCCCAAACCTGAGGGAGGAAGGGCCTGTGGCCATCCAGATGTTTGTGAGTTACTTCATCATTAGCCAGGCTAGGGCTGGTGGGAATTCAGTTTAACATCTGGAGGGCCACAGATCCCCCTGCCCTGATCCATGACCCCAGACATGCTATGCATTTGGACAGACTGCTTCCTTCAACTCCATAATGCTCCTTTTCCCCCGGAAAACCTGCAGGCCACAGTCGTCTTAGCCCCCTCCTACAACTGCCAGCCTCTTAACCAGCTTCCTTCCAGTATGGGCGGTGTGTACTGGAGAGATGCCACAGCAGCTTCCGTGGCAGAATTCAGTACATTACCCTGGGCATGCCCTTCCTGTTCAAGCCTCCCTGACTCTCATGGTGTCCTCCTTGGCAGTATCCTTCTCCCAGTTCCAGCCTCCCCTGCATATTCAGTGTGTTCCTTGACCAACAAGTGCTTTCTCAGGCTCAATCCTCACCCACAGTTTCCATGTGAGACCCGTTTGCTTCTCGTCCTGTAGGTGCACACCAGAAATGACAGGGGAGCAATGCGAGACGCCTGCGACCAGCGAGCAGCAGAGCGATCGTACGTGGTGTTTGGGCAACTGCTGTTGGGTGTGGTATATATTGGGAAGAAAGCAGGAGGGATCCAGGAGTATCTGTATCACTGCAACGGTGATGACTCTCCACGCCAAACAGAGGCATGGGATTCAAGGCATTTAAGTGCCTGAGGTGGAAAATCCAAGCCATACCTCCCTCCCAGCGTGTATCAGCATGGGGGGCATGCAGTCCTGCAGATGTTGCCAGACTGTCCCCTCATCAGCTTTAGGCAGCATAGCTCATAGCAAGGATGATGGGAATTACAGCCCAGCCACTGCAGGGGAACCACATGTTCCCTGTGCCAGCACTAGGACATTTCTCTGCACCCTAGGACTTCAGGGTGTGATTTAACCTCGATTCTGTGGTAGCCACTTAAAGGCAAAAGAAAACCTCAAAAAGGGCATTTCTGTGATTAAGTCCCATAGAAAGATTGTGAATTCAGACTGATCAGTCAGTGCCGACAATGTAAGCCAGAATCACTGGGAGACAGACAGGCCTGACAAGAGAAGTATTTCAGTTTGATGCCTTAAAAATGCCTGAGCAAGGGAGGGAGGGAGAAGAATCTGTGGGACCAGGCTCTCGGGGACAGTTCTGAGTGACCAGCCTCTCTTCTACCTATTGTAGGAACTCTGTCCATCCTCATTCCAATCCTCCTCCTCCTCCTTCTGATACTGCTGGCAATTGTTGTAATTTGGTACAAGAAGAGGATTAAAGGGTAAGTGAAGCACTGAAAATCATGATCTAGGATTTTTTTAAAAAATTAGGTAAATCTGGTAAAGTCTCTTTCTTCAAAATCCTTGTCTGCTAAGCAAATCCCTGTGGCTTCTCGCCCCAGCTCTTGTCAGGCGTGAGCAGTAGGTGCTTCGTTCTCTGGATCCCCATGCTTGTCCCTGCAGTATTTCCTCCCAAGGCTTTGTGTGGTTTGGGGCCACCCACTGGCACCACAGCGAGCATAGACAGAAAGGGTAAAATTGGCTTTGCCCCGGTAGATGCAGCAGAGGGGAAATGGATTCAAGCTCCTGCAGGGAGGAGTCTTGTGTCTCAGGTTCAGCCCTAAACCTCTCCTGCTTTGGCAGCAAGAAAGGGCTTGAGGACATGGATGGGCAGCAGGATAGAGGTGGTTTTCAGGGCCATGAGGAGGGGAGGCAGAGCTATTTCCCACCAAAGTCAGGGAGCCGGCCATTTTCAAAAGATAATGCCTGGCTTTCCTTAGATGCTCCTCCACCAAAAATCTTCGGAGGGCAGGCTGAGAGCAATAGCTGTCTTGGGGGCATGTGTCACCTCGTGGCAGCCATTTTGAATGCCTTATTTCCAGCCTTGGGTGCCTCCAGCAAAGTTCAGGTGCACCTTTTAAACTGAGATGGTTTTGAATAGTTACTATAGGGAGCTTTTGGTACATGTTTTTTCTTTAACTAAGCTAAACTTTGTCTTTCTCACCCTAACCCGCCCCATAGGCCATGCCAGCCCACTCAGGGGCACGGATCAAATCTTATCTGTTTACACTTTAGTCCACTGCCATTGTTTCTCATTGCTTTCATATCACATTCGTCTTTGGAATTTACATTTCTGTAAAATTAAATGATCTGTTGAATCTTTGTTTCATGTTACCTCTAGAACCGTAAGGAGGCATCTGGGAAATTGTGCTGAGCAGGGGACATGGCCCATTTTCCTAGATAAACTCTTTTCAAATAACCCTCTAAAATGCACACAGACTCGGGATTCAAAGAACACGTCAAGAAGCACTAGTCCACCAAGAGGGGGGAACTCTTTATCTCGGAGGTCAACCCAGAGAAAGCTGTTCAAAGATGGGTAGAGGGAGTAGACCAGCTTAGGCCATGGACAGGGACCATACTGGACATGTACAGGGTATTGTTATATACGGACATATCATCCCTTGTTTTCAGTACAGACTCTGCAGATGGGCTTCATGCAAAGTCAAGTCCTGGATCCAGTATGCCACTCGTCTGGCTCTGCTAACCTTTTATTCTGAGGGGAACTATTTGCAAAGGATCATTAGCAGAAGTAATTAAGCATTGTACTGTCCTGCCAGTGCTCTCTGGCAAGTGCCTGATAATGCTATTTTTATTATCAGATAATATTAGCAGAGTCGCAAATTTGGGGTTTTAGTTTTGCTGAGATAACTTCGGAGTGTCAGATTGAAAATCTAGCTTTTGTACTTCTTTCTCAACTCTTAGTATTACACAGAAATGCCCTAACAGTAGTGCCCACCCTGCTGGCTTGTGACCTCTGTTGAGCTCTGTTTCTTCCCATACCCAGGGCTAAAGGTTTCCAACACCAGCGTATGACCAATGGTGCAATGAATGTGGAGATCGGCAATCCCACTTACAAGATGTATGAGGGAGACCCCGACGCTGATGATGTGGGGGAGCTGCTAGATGCCGACTTTGCCCTGGATCCTGACAAGGTTTGGAAGTGGGAGCGAAGGGAGAGGTTACATGGGCTTGTTCTGGAGAAGGGCTCTGGCAAGTATGATGGGCAAGGGACCCAGCAAAGACATCTGGTCGCAAAAACTGTAAGGTGGAAGATAGAAGCAAGTTTGAAGGGGAGGGCAAAATTAGATTAAGAGTTCCAGATGAGAACCAAACATGCCAATGTGCCAATACACTTTTGTCTTGGGGTGATAAAACAATGCAGTATCATAAGGATAACTCAGGTTTGGATTGATAAGCCTTCACTTGTGGAAGGGCCAGGGCCTTCAGAAGACATCCACACATCCCTAAACACCTGCAGGACCTACATGTTTTTCAATCCAATGTGCTATGTGCCCAGCTCTTGGGTTTCCATGGACCAAATGACTGCTCATTAGTGGAGACAGGATATTGTGCTACACAGACCTTTGAAGTGATCTAACAAGGCAGTTTTTTGATGGATAATTTGTGATGGATAAAGGAACAACACTGATGACAAAATAAGATCACTCGATATAGCCCCATGTGTACAAGCAGTGAGGTTATAACTAAAAAGACTGTGCACGTGCATTCCTATGGTGGCTAGCAGAGATGTTCTGTCACACCATTGGCCACTGGTTGAGTATATGGTGTTGTATAGGACCAGTCAGTTGTTGATGCCTTGATCGGGGAAATGACCCTAATCATAAAAGTTCGTTGTTGTAAACAGGGCCTTGTACGTACCATATTTCAAGCATTCCAAGCACAGTAGAAAATGAAGTATGATTTCCTAAATAAAGCATTTTTAAACTAGTGTGAGGAATGATCAAATGAACATATAGAAAAAAAATCTGCAGCAGATTTCAGCAAAGTGTGGTCCTCTGGAAGCTGTTGGACTACAAATCCCAACATTTCTTTGGCTCTGCTGGCAACGGCTGCTGGGAGTTTAAGTCTTCACAACCTCTTGAGGTCTGTACTTTGCCCATCCCCGATTTGGAGACTATGGAAGACTCCAGTTATTGAGGCCAGTATTGTGGATACTGCAAGGCGCCCTTTGTTTACTGTAGGGAGGCAGTGAACATCCTGGAATAATCTTCAGTTATGTTCTTAGTAACCTATTAGGATGAGTGCGAGCAATAGTCTTTGAGGGCAGCTTCATGCAAGATAGGTCAGGTGGTAGGACTTCGTCTAACAGGAACGATTGCTCCCTTCTGTGGTGAATGTGTTCCTCCCTCTTGCCATATCATGGAGGGAAGATTTGGAAGAACAATGGCTGCGGTTGTGAACAGAATTAGAAGAAGGAACTAGAGAAATCGCCGGAGATGCCAGCTCTGTGCTCTTGCCCACTCATCTCTCCCACTCTTTTTGTCTTTCTCTCCTTTCCTCCAGCCCACAAACTTCACAAACCCAGTGTATGCCACACTCTACATGGGCGCCCACAACAGCCGCAACTCACTAGCCAGCACGGATGAAAAGCGGGAGCTGCTGTCGAGAGGGGCGGATGATGATCTTGGCACCCCCCTGGCATAGGGAATGGGGGAATGGACCACCAGCCCAGACAGAGACCAGATGGGAAGAGACAAGATGGGCTAGGGAGGGCATTGGGGACAGGAAGCAAGAGATACTGTACAAATGTACAAATGAAGGATTATTACTTTTATATGTGAGCAGTATTATTACCTGTATATTCCCTTTCATCTACCAGCCGCTGAATCTCTGTCACTGGACTTTGGAGTAGACGGAGTTAAAAGCAACCTTGGGAGGTGGGGGAGAAATTAAGAAGACCCTCGTTTGGGTTGAAGGGCTCCAGGGTCTGACCTAGCTGCATTCTTTTTCTCGCTGCACAAATCCACCCACTTTTGCTTCCCGTGTAGGCGGCTGTAGGTTGCGAGCCTTCTAAAGGCTTGGAATGACTTTCACACCCTTCCTGGGGTGCTCCTGCTGAACAAATGGAGGGAAGGGTTTGGGGCAGACCTCCTCCTGCTAGGAACATGAGTCCACGTCTCTTGAGAGGAGGGTGGGAAAAGGGGGGGGCATCAGAGATGAGAGCAAGAGGATCCTGCTCCTTCCTTCCCTCTTATGCACAGGAAAAAGGTTCTGCTTTGACAGAAGGTGGACCATAATGTCATGCCAGTCTGATCATCTCTTAATAGTGATTTGGGTAGAACAAAGGCATCCAAATATACATCTGTGATTCTTAAACGTTCATATATTGGGACCATTAATTTTGTTCATTGGTTACTTGCAGAGCACTGCGATTCCTTACTTTACAGCACCCATCCAGAAGACATCTTGAAAAGTTAGTTACAAATAAAACTTCATTCCTTCTGCTTTCAAGAATGAAGAAAAATATTTCTGATAGAGCAGTGCAACTCACCCCAAAAGAATTTTTTTAGTCCTGTTCAACATTTTTAGCTTGCTTCAGATTTTTTTCTAATGTTTAGCCTGAAAAGAAATCTCTTTCCCCTCCTTTTCTGCATTGGAAAAAATCAGTGTTATCTTAGGATATGTGTGCTCTGTGGGATACTAATTTACCAAAATGCTTTTGAAACTTCTCAGATGTTTAACCCAAGATACCCTTCAGATTTACTTCTTGTGCAACCAACTCCAGGAAAGAAGCCTTAAAACATATCTTCAGTGGCAACCAGTATATTGAAACCTGGCAATATTTTACCACACCTACTAACGTCTTCTGTGTGCACCTCAGTATGGTTTATTAGAATGTAACAGGAGGAGCTGAGTTTTAATTTGCCATGGTTTGCTTACTGCATTTTTCTTTACTATTTTCTCCGTGACTTCATAAATTGATCGTCTGAAAGTGGGCTGCAGGCCATGAGGAACTGCAGGCCGCGATTTAAGAACTGCTGGTGTCAAAGTTCTGTCCACATCCCATCAAGCGCACACCGCCTTCTTCCAGCAATTTTAAGCACGTCTTGCCAGTAACAGCCTTTTCTTCCACTGCATCCAGCCAGTCACATTTTCTCTTTGCAATGTTGGCCTTAACCTTTTTTTTCCATCAAGAAGATTCTACGCTACTTCTGTGCGACCAGCCAGTGCATAAGACACCTTTGCCTCCCCCTGCCCTTCTTTTACTTTCGTTTACACTAACAGTTATTTGTGAAAGCCTTCCTATCCAGGAATTAGTTTTTATTCCAGGAGGATTGCTTTGATTGTATTTCATTTGATTTTAGCATCTACATCTGAGACTAAGCAGAGTTTACAAGTTGTGTTATAACAATCATCCCACCTCTTCTGACCTGCCCTTCTCCTCCCTCCATTGCTGCAACTTAGGCCATCTTTGTTCTGGAAAGAGGTTCAATGTTGTTTCAACTTTTTCTTTCTCTCCAAAATGCTTTTTTAAAAGATGAAAACAGATCAAAAATAAATAAGATGAACTAGCTTTTATAGTAGAAATTACACGCATGTGGCAGGAGGGAAGGAGGTCTCCTCAGCCTTTTTTTTTCTGGGAGTGGGGGAGCCAAAATGTTTTAATAATTTTTGCCGGATTACTTTACAACTAAAAACAAAACAAAAACTTTTAAAAAACAGATATTGTTATAAATAAAATTTTTAAAAACTATTTTTTTTTAAACTGCTGCTTCTTTGTTTCGGGCAGGATTTGTTCCTGGGTGTTGGGGGAAGTATGGATTATGAGTGAACAGTACTGTGATAAACAAGACAACCATCATTATCTATCTGCCATGTACGGACTAAGAGATAGAAAAATGGGTTGGACTGGCTTGGACCAAAGGCTGCCTCTTCCAGTTATGCTAAATATAAACACCATTTACAGACTTTGCAACAGTTAATTATTTGCACTACAGCTCTGGACAACTCTTCAGGGCCACAGAATCATTAAAACCATTTATTAGAGATGGGATATTCGTCTTCAACTCTCAGTATCCTATCTCTAATTAGAACAATAGTCACAATGGCTGATGTTTCCCAGCTCTGTTTCTAATAGTACCAAATTTTGGTTCCATCCTCTCTCTGTGGTGTATAACTTTTCCCAACAGGTCACATTCTTTTTGTGCCCTCCTGGCCATTCCCTCTTCCCCTGGCCGGCCTTAATAAGTCTGATCTGATCATCCATTTGTTGGCACAGGCCTGAATGCTCTCCCCTAGGCCACATCTCTCCCTGCCTAGGGACAGCTTTGGCCGTAGCCTCCTGCCACATGGTTTGAGAGGGTGGAGTGGGGCCTTCCTTTTACAGAATTCAGGAAGTTCACTGGTCAAGACAAACCACACCAATTTTGTTGAAGGTTCCAGGTAGCTTTTTTTGAAGCTTCATGTTGGTAACTGTGTTTCAGACATCATTCTAATAAAACTGCTTCGTTATGAATGGGATTCATAAGGGTAGGGATGGGACACCCCTGGGAACTTAGCTTTTGCATTTTTAACATCAAATTCTGGAAAGACAGCTTTGGGGCATGGCCAAATACTACAGGGGCCTAGGGCACCAGCACTTTCAGCTGTTCTGCAAGAGAAGGGCATTTTTGCAGCCACCATATTTCAAGGGCTACTTTCTGCCATTGCACGTACAGTACTGTTATTCTAACCTAGACATCATGTCTGCCCATCATTTCCTAAGCAAGAGTGCCCTACAACGTTTTGCTGCCTGAGACGAATGATAGGATGGCATCCTTCTGTGTACAGAAGACAGCTGTCCTGGGCAGCTGAAGCAGACTTCAGCACTGGCAATGAGGCAGGTCCCTTCCTCACACCTGAATGCAACAGGCTAGTTTAGGTGTGTGCAAGTTCTTTGTGGCCTCTGTGAATCACATCCTGGGTGATTCGCGCCTGTGTGGAGCCTCATCTGAAGATTCTAGAGCTGCTGTGGTAGTAATGAACACAAAATATGCCCCTCCCCACCCGCATGAGTACCTTGGCGCCAAGCGTCCCCTTTCAGTTTTTTTTCAACTGCCGAATTGAGAGCCTCATATTTCTGCTTCTGTGAGTAAAAGAGAAAGGGAGCTTATTCTTGATTCCTTCCTGTTATCAATCTTTTTCTTTTAAGCTATTAGATCAAACTCTTCTATCATCAGAGATTTTTCTTTTCTCCTCACTTGGCCTCCGGCCGCAGCACACACACACCCATCATCGGTTTTTCTCCTCAATTATTTTCTCCTATTCATGGCCCCTTTGGGCCCGTTTAAGCACTGCGTTATCTGTGATAATAAGATCCCACTTTCCGACAGACACACTAAATGCCTTTTCTGTTTGGGAGAACAACATCAAACTTCCTCCTGTACCCACTGCAAATATTTTAAGCACAGAGTGCTTCAATCTTGCCTCTTGAGGCTAAAACTTCGACTTTGGGAACAATCCTTACAACCAGTTCAAATGGCCCAATCTCCCTCTAGGGCCACTTCCCAAACCGTCTCTCAATCTCTTTGCCCAAGCGAATCGGAAATGCCAACTGTATTGCTCCCGAGCAGGAATAGGGAAACATTTCCAGGGAGACAGTTTGACGGCCGTTGGCCGAAGACTCTTACCTACCTTTTTCCACCATTCCCTCTCCTCCACAAACTTGTCTTCCGTGTACAACAAGACAAAGCCAATGCCATCATTATAGCCCCTAAGACGGGCTTGGTTCCCAGTTCTCCGCAGTTTCTCATCAGACATCTACCATTTCCCCCACCTGCCACACCTTCTCACATAGAACAACTTCCAAGTCCTACACCCGGACTTACCTGTGCTGCACCTGGCAGCGTGGAGGATTCTCCCTCGTTAATGAACGTTCTTCATCATGCAAAAAAATAATTCACAAGGAAAGCCTACTGGTACAAATGGAAGAAATGTCAATCCTTTACCCAAATATTCCTCATCATCCTCCATCAATACATCAATTTCCACTGTTCTCCACGTCCTCCTACATATCAAATCCAAGGGCCTCTCTATCTCATCCTTGAGAATCTACCTTTCAGCAATAATCTCGTACTAACCTCCAAATTCTCCAGCAGCAAACTTCTTCAAACATCCAACAACGAAACGTTTTCTGAAAGGTGTCTCTCATATCTACCCCAATACTCGACCTCCCTCTCCACAGTGGTCACTAACTGACTTAAGACTCCTCACCTTTAAAACAGCCTTTCTCGTAGCCATCACCTCAGCTCAACGAGCTAGTAAATTGGCAGCTTTATGCTATGACTATCCTTATCTACAATTTTTCCCGATAAGGTTAAGTTATTCACGGACATTTCTTTCCTCCCCAGAATTGTCTCTCAATTTCCTCTTTTCCAGCCAATTGTCCTTCCTTCATTTTTTCCCGTCACCTTCTTCAAACCAAGAAAAAATACTCCATATGTTGGATGTCAGAAGAATTCTTGCTTTTTATCTCCAACATACCCAACCTTTTAGACAGTCATCTCTTCATAAGCCATCAGCTACTTACAAAAGGCTGTCAGGTGACTTCCCAATCTATCTCCAGATGGGTCGCCTCCACCTTTCATTTGGCTTATCAACTTGCTCAACAACCAGCCCCTAGAGTGGTTCGCCCTCACCATTAGGGTAGTGGCAGCCTCTACAGCCTTTCTCCAAAGCGTACCTCTTCCAGACATCTTCGCCTCTGTCACTTGGACACAGCCATCCACGTTTATCCGTCATTATAGACTCGACCTCTGGCAGAAGTCTAACACGGCATTTTGACGTGCTGTTCTAGC